GAGAGCGAGTATAATAGTTTTAAATCTCATTTTCGCATTTTGCGATCTACGTTCAATCGACTGCTTAGTATCCTACAGCAACATCCTACTATTTATCCACATCCTTTCGACCTCAAACTCCTATTGAAATTCAAGCTGGCATTGTGATTCAACGATTAGCAAATCCTCTGGGACATCGCCAACTAGAACAAATGTTTGGTGTTAGCCAAGGATCAGTCGCACATTTACTAAACATTTATTGAAGCCATTCTGGACATCCTCCAACATTATCAAACCCGCATACGTTGTGGATGTTTGTATAATAAAGGATCCGAGATTTTTTTGCTTCTTAGGCATTGCAATGAATATGAAAAAAAAAAAAAAAAATTTATTGATGTTCTATCCCATGTATTGCTCTCGTCACATCACATCGATCATAGAGATGTCTGGCAAAAGTTTTGAATGTTCGTATGAAAAATAAACAATTTCCAATTTAGGGATGCCCCTTTCGGGAGGGCATCAAATTGACGCCCCACCAAATAACTTCCATTTTTATCATCAATTTCCAAATTTGATCGGGGCATCAAGCTGTGGATGCAATGAAAAGTGCCATCCCTGTGTATTAAAATTCATATCAATGAAATTATCTCCCACAATTTTCGTACAGCAAGATCAGTTGTAAGGTTAGGTGTAATAAGTAGTATATGAATTTAATCGACGTTGTCCCAGAGTATTGTATACTATGTAGGTTGCGCAAATGTTGTAAGCGAACTTTTGCTGGGCGGACGTCAGATAAGGTGATGAGGCGTTATCGGTCACTGTCTGTAAACTAAGAAACCCTATATATAGCGACAGCCAAGTCATGTTTATATAGAAACTCTAGCCACCTCACAGAATGTTGAAGAACTATGTAGTAGCAGTGCATATTTAGTTGCAAGGGGAATAAAAAAGTGATATGTCGCAGACGAATATATTTTAGCGTTGTCGATACTAATATGAATAGTTATAATTGTCCGCACAAACGGAACAAGGAATTGGGACGCAATAAAAAAAGAAGCAAGATTTCATCCTGATCAAGCAGGACGTTTAAGCTTTAATACTTATGATCAGTCAGCGGTCCCCAGAATAATTACCAGAACATGTAGTAGCGTCAAAGCAGTCCTATTAAGAGCAACATTCATTACTTTATTCGCCGCATCCATAAAAGAAAAAATATCTGACTTTACACTGTTAAGAGCTAATTGGTCATAACAATGCATACCGGTGTGAAACCTCCACAAAAAACTTGCTATCTAATAAGTAGAAAGACATGTATTATCATCTACAAGGATAAATATAATGAACTATCTTTCTCACATTCAAGTTGTAGCTAACATTTGGTTAAAGTCAGCAGCCGACATCTTGCCTAACACTGATTGGGTATACTCTACTTTAGTAACAACATATCCGGAGCCTGTGGGCTCGTGCGTAAAAATATATGAAGTAGAAGATGAATTGTTGATCATACCGAGATGTTGAAAATTATTATCAGTCAGACTGTTGTTCGTCGTATCGGAATAGGGGATGGAGGTATCGGGATAAGAGTCGGAGGAGCCACAGTATGTGTGAAAAGGTACTGGGAGCGGACAAGAGCTGTTTGTGTGGATTTCGACTTGACCGTGACTCAACGGATTCAACTGCCCATTCATCGTGTCAATGTTACCCGCTTGGGTATAATAAAAAACTGAGGGATTACCTTCATATGGTGCATAATTGCCTGTATAATTGCCGGTATTTCCGTAGTCCATAATATCCATAGACGTCATATCGACATTATCGGAGGCAGAAGGAAGGAAATTTTGAGCATGAGATTGGGCTTGCAAATTAATGGGCATGTGAACTGGAGCATTGGTGTTATCAAAACTAAAGTCTTCCGGAAAAGATCTGACGTAACCGTTGTTCGTATTATTCGGTTCGGTATCGAAGTTATTAGGGTGAGGAGAGTGCATGACAAAGGAAAAATGGTGTTTTCACTGAGAGCAAGTTTCTGATTTTAACATTGACTTCTCGTGTTTGTCTGCATCATAGTTGCTTATATGTAATTTTGGATATGCGTAATGAATGTAATAGTAATACTGTACTACAAACATTTCTGTCTTCAAGATGATAAACGAACACTCTCCGTGTCACAAAATTAACAATGAGGTCAGTCACATTGATATACTAATAATACATTAAACGCCTTCGTAATAGATATTGATGATAGGAGGATGAAACAAGGCCGTTCTTTGAAATATAAAGTAATCGTTTCATACGAAAAGTATGAACGACAGAACAAGCCGAAAAAACAGGAACAAAAAAAAACAACGCAATCGTCACTATTAGCCCGATTTAGCCATATCATTATTTACATTGTAACACCAATCAAATACTTGGCTTTCGTATGTCCATTAAGAGTTGGCGGTGGTTACACAATCAATTCAGCTACTTCATTCTGCTCAAGCATTACAGCAAACGAACGATGTTCATCGTCAGCCCCTCCGTTTTTCATCCATGCAGTAAATATTAGTAAAAGCTCCAGGTAATTTTTCATGAAATTTAACAAAAAACGCTGGTGTTCTAATATGCAGCTTCTTTGTTTTTACTAGCAATGGAGAAACTTCGGAATCGAGAAGAATCACCCAATGAGTGTAGAGTTATTAACATTTCGCTTGGCGTTCCGTTGAATTCTTTATACTCCTTCTTATTCAGCAATTAAGGTATTAACTCTTCGCTAGGCGTCGAGCGTAACCTAGTTGCAACAGAATAATTAACATAAATTGATGAGCGAAGTTAACGGTCGAATATCTTGTAAGAGAAATTTTCAATCATCCAACGTTCCTCGTGAGGTAAACTTTATCCATACTCAGAAGTTGGTGATAATGATAATGTATGTGGAGGTTGAGTTACTTCTTCGACGTGTTAAGTGAGATAACCACGGGGAATGATAAATCGTATCTAACTATTATGTTTATACCTTAGAATGTAAAATGTTTCTTTCATACACACTAGAGATATTATTAGACATTAACTCTCTTTCAACTTAACACCATCGGCACTTAGCTTTTATATTGGTCTACGGTTATTAACGCTCGCCATGAATACATTACCCACTGCGTTACGAGTCGACAGAAAGACTCGTTACAATTAATCAATTAATTAACACTTTCAACACAACATCTTAACTCTGCTCTTAACAAACATAATATTTCTCAGCAAACAGTATCGCTTATTACTTAAACATGATCTTTCTTAGCGAATAAATCTGTTCCCAGCAAACATAATGATTATAACAAAGCTTCCCCAAATAAGGCTTACTTCTCGTAGCGAAGTCGTACAGTATAATCGAATAACAATTTGCTCTCACGAATAAACGCTTCAAGGGACTTTAGGATGTGAGAATAGCATTCATTATCCTTTCATTCGACTAGAATTATTTGAGAACAAGAGTTGGAAACTAATTTTATAACTACATGATAATAATCGGACTTAGAATAGTTATAGTCATATTATCCAACCAACACTTTTAACGTCGTACAGTATATATTATGTATAGTATTTAACACAATGGTAATGTTAGTCTTTACAATGAAAATTACCGTTACTCCTTGCATAAGAAATACTAATAGGAGTAGTGCGGTATCACCCCGCACTTTTTATCAAATGTTGATATTTATTAAAATAACTGACTTTACATATTCAAATAAAACCATTGATAATTGCTCATAATATTATTTATATTGATGTAATATCTTCCACCACAAAAAAAAACTTATTTAATACTAAAAAAGACTTGATACATAAACGATCTTTAATTTCTTTCTCACATTCGGTTAGAGCAAACATTTCGCCAATGCTAGCAGCCGCCGATATTCTGCCCAGCACTGATTGAGTACGCTCTTCTCTCATAACAACGTATTCGTTGCTTGTGGGCACTTGTATAAGGATGTATGAAATACATGTATTGTTAAGATGTTGAAAATTATTATCTGCCGGACCATCATTCGTCGTGTCAGAATGAGAGACGGAGGGGCCACAGAGTGTCTGAAAAGATACTGGAGGCGGACAAGAACTGTTTTCGACTTGATCGTGATTCGTTATGTTCAACTGTCCATCCATTGTGTCGGTATTGCCCGGATGGAAATATGAAGCTGGGGGATTAACTTGATATGGTACATAATTGGCGGTATAATTTCCGGCATTTTCGTAGTTCATAATATCCATAGACGTCATATCGACATTATCGAAGGCAGAAGGAAGGAAATTTTGAGCATGAGATTGGGCTTGCAAATTAATGGGCATGTCAAAATTGAAGTCCTCCGGAAAAGACCTGACGTAACCGTTGTTCGTATTATTCGGTTCGTTCATTGTATCGATGTTATTAGGGTGAGGAGAAAGAAAATTGTTCGTATGGTAGGTATTTATATCATGTTCAAGAGTCGATTGTGTGCAAACAACTCCTTCACGCGATGTGACCAATGACAGCGATTTATGCGTATTGTTGTGTACACCTCTTCTTCTGTAACAACAATAAGCGTTCCATGTCGCTAGCCGTATAGTTCAATTATTTAATTATTGGACAGCCTTTTTACTTATTGCGTCAATATGTGCGAGGGAGGGCTGATGCTGATATTGCTTATTGCGTCAATATGTGCGAGGGAGGGCTGATGCTGATATTGCTTATTGCATCAATATGAGGGAGGGTTGATGCTGATATTGCTTATTGCATCAATATGAGGGAGGGTTGATGCTTATTGCATGAACTGCATAGACATCGTACAGAACTTGAAAATGGTTAGTTGACAACCTACACCTTACTAAGCATCACAATTGAAACTATATCAATGAGAACAAGCCGCATACATAGTTGTTTATATATAAACGATGCTAATAAATGCGTAACAACGCATACCATCACTTTTTATAATACTTTTCATCCAATATATTGTATCACGGTGGAGTTATTGTAGTGAGACAAGATGTCGCTTTGCGCATTTAGAACCGCGATCAAATGAAATATTAGTTAAACAAATGTTTTTAATTAAAATCCAGCCGTCGAAATCATATTGTCTACAATTAATACTCTTTAAGAAAGGGGCGTAAGCGAGCCAAAGTGACAGAAGAAGAAAAAGAGGGAAGTACGCCCGCTAAAAACTCGAGTTTGCTGATGCCATCAAGACGATAGACAAAACTTTATGAAAGAAGGAAAGGGGTCCAATCTATGAATGCGAGGGGAATGATCCTGTTCTCAAAGACTTTTTTTAATCAATTTTATTCAGCTTGAGCATAGCAAGTAAACGATAAACTGTATGAAAAAATAATGCTTTTCAACTGCTATTTGTTTGTTTCGATGAATAATACAAAAATTAATGTTTTAAGTTTGAAGTTGCATACTACTTAGATTCAGCAGGAAAGATATGGTAACCTCGGTGTGACTACAACAGAGCAGTAGATCGCAATGTCTGACACGCATGGAGAATATGTAGACGATGCTCTGTCGCAACATGTGGGAAATGCTTTTCAACAACACTTCATGTATGATATGCATTCGGAAAGATATACCAAACATATGACCAGTATCCTTCAAATATCGAATCCTCATCTTATTAACTACCCTCACTAAGTTACAAGAGGTTCCGATAATTCCATTCTGTGCGACTTTCATGTATTACGATATGACTAATTATGAATCTGTCAATGAAGATAGTGAAATGTAGAAGGGGTAACAGATGACGCATGATAGAGGATTTATTAGAATGCCCAAAAATCATTTTTAGAACTGTAAGCCTATTATCGTTATTGTTATTGTATATGAATAAAGTTTCATAAACCAGCGAGCAACGGTTTTTAGTCTGTATAAAATAGCTTGACACTGCAACTTTGATACTTGTCGGAATGCGATTAACGTTTGTACTCATCGTCAAAGTGTATTTACACAACGTTTCATATATCAGTCGATTGCCGCAAGCTCAGGAGAGAAACGGTTCCTCCCAATCTTTTAACCTGTCGTTACAATTTTTCGGCATAAGGGTATTTTTTTATTACTCATAATTGTTAAACAACATTATTGATATAACTGGGCTTCCAGGACCACTGTCAACAGTGTTCTCTTAAAGGCTCTTGGTTTCTTCAGGACTTAATTGAAGAATTGTAGTTATTGCCGGAACCAGATACTAAATAAGTGAAAGATGATACGATCAAACGTACGTTGCAAATAGAAAATCGTTAGTTGAATAGCCGTAGCAGATATTGTTAATGACCATTAGTCTTCACATTTTGTTCGCACTCTCATTCTCATTTCTGTCTACTTTGCTTCAAAGACTTTCCTTCATTCTCCTTCCCATTTTTTTTATATTTCTTCTCTTACCTCCCGTTCTCCAGCACTGCTCTCCAGAAACTTCAAGACAACGTTCTTCAAATACTCAATACTCATGTCTTGTCTCTTTTCCATCCGATCCATTCTCCTAATCTCCTCTTTTAATACTTTCTCTTGTTCTTCGAGTCGTTTCACTATCATTCAAAAGTTCTGCAAGGTGTTGAACCTTTGATACTTGTTCTTTTTAATGCTCTTGAGAAGAGATCGATTTGGTTCCGTATCTGAAAGAAGGTCCGAAAGTGAAGTTGGAACAACAAGAATGAAAACAGAGTCCATAAATAACGCGCGAGTACAACAAAAATTTGTGTACTTTATCTTCTAGTAATTGGAGAATTTCTTTTAGTGTTGACTAACAACAACAAGAACAACCCCCCCCCCAAGCTCCGCAACAACCCAACTTTTCAAACCATTAGTCCCTCTGCTATAAAGAACTTACAATACGACGCGCTAGCCCGTTTATTCGTGATCGAAGGTGAAGCTGGTTGACTCTCAGTCCTTGGCGTTACATGTTTTTCTTCCCTCACCAATGACTATCGGTCGTGGTTTTCGTGACAATAATTGTTTTTGAGCTTCGTTCAACTGTTTAGTGCGCTCGGCAAGCTGTGTGCGAAGAGTGGAGAGTTCTTCGTCCAAGCGCTAAACATAGAATTAACGAGTATGGAAAAAGGGAAGAAATGTGATGTGTTGAAGAATCGCGCATAAACCTAAGGAATAATGCCTGCGCAGACATTTGCAGATATAATTACAATGAATCACCTTATTCATCTGTTGCAAGTCTTCGCTCTCTTCTTGTTTCTTTATACAACTTGCCTGAACTTGACCTGTTATCTTTTCCAGCCTCTCTTCAAATTCTCGTATGCTTTCCTCATGCTTCTGCTCAATTCTACGTTTTATAATATAATACAAATGCACAACTTCAACTTAAACGCGTTCGCTCTATATGTTTCAACACACGAAACCATGGATATTCTTCACCAATCCTTATTACACACCTTCCCTAACGTATTCCTTTTCTTCCGAAGCACTTTTTCAACAATCCTTGAGTTTCCACCACCAATTCCGCGTTTTGCCTAGCCGATCGCTGCGATCTTTGCAACTCCTGTTCCAAACGGACGTTCTGCTCAGATACGCGTAAGAATTCTTTCTCCGCAAGTTTTAATTTTTCTTGCGTTTGTCGGAGTATTAGAATGTGATGAAAGAAAGGAATATACTAGAAATTAAAGAAGCGGGTGTGGGTGAGGAAGGTAAGCGGTAATGATGTTGAAATTAAATTATTTCTTATATAGTCCACGTATCGTAAGAACGATGGAACGCAATAATCTTGAATAACATAGCCAATCCTTTTCCCCTAACCCAAATGACAACATCATTCCTCTTTAATACTAGCCTAAGTTCTCCCTGAATTTCTTAACTTGTGTTTGTAAATCAGATGTCTTTGCATAGGTAATAGCGCTTATCGTTGTATAGTATCTGGATTTTTTTTTCTTGTAATAGTGCATGTGCTCGCTGTTTATATTGCTCCTTTGTCTGATTGAGTTGCTGGGTCGTTTGACGAAGTTTCGATTCCTGTCCAAGGATAAGTAAAGATTCAGGCCATATAAACAAAGGAATCTTACAATATGACCACTGTGCTGGCACATTATATTGCTTGTATGCTAATAAAAACTCTTACCATTTGAGTAGTATGCATTGCAACTTACTAGGTCAACAACTCTACAATATTGAAAAGTGCACAATTATTCACGTTGATCTATATATAGACAGTTTGATTCACTTTCAATTAATTGGCTGTTGTATTAAACTCCTTGTTCTTCTGCTAAAGTTCGATAATCGGCATCCTTAACCGCGACTGTCTGTCTAACTTATTGTGTCACTTTAATTAGTAGTTTAGACGCGAATGTCTACATTATGCCATAAAGCACTTATTCAATGTTTTTACTATAGCATGAAATGAACAGCTGACCCTCAAAGGAGTCTATAATGATAACTCACAACATTCTTCTCGTTTCTTCCTCCCCTTCTTACCCATACACAGTTGTCCGATGCCATTCTCTGTATTAGTATTACGCTATACTCTCATTCCCACGTTCGCAGCAATTCAAGATCCTTTCTCTTTACTTACCAACACCTTTTAATCCTACATTAAATCACAATCATAAATGCTCCTAATCATCAGTTCTTTTTCTCTTTCTTTTCCTTTGAACTTTGACCCAGACTTTGCGGGTGGTTTTGGATGGCGTGTTAGCCTTCTGATGTTATCTTTAATACATGAAGTGAATATGGACAATCGTACAAACATATTAGGTCGAATGTAACGAATTATTACGATTCCGAAACTAGACAACGTTCCATACAACTTACCTTCTTTAAATTCCAACATTCTCTTTCCTATCTTGCATTTTCGTCATTAATATCTGTTCAATCTTTCATACCTGCAGCATTCTCAAGCATGTCCTATAATCGGTTACTTTTAGCAACAGAAATCCGGTTTTATGTGAGTAGTCCACATATTAATATAGCGGGTCTACAGAATTGCCATAAAATCCGTAGATATAATAGTAAGTCTTCTGATCATTAGGATCTGATATATTCTCATTGGTCAATCTTACAATCACCTGATATTAAGATGGTTTAATGACATTGTCGACGACAAACGCCTTTGAAGAAATTGGGCCATTTTTTATATCCCCCAGATTTAATCACCGAGTAGACTTCTGGCGGTTTGGGCGCCTGAATCTCTACCTATAGCTCGCTGATGTACAGTTCTATGGACAGTTATAATTGTCCGTACAAGCGGAATAAAGGAATTGTGACGCGATAAAATATTGAATTGAGAATTAATCGTAACAATAACAATAGCTCACAAGAAAACGCTTGTTCGTCGATTGATGTGATAATTCTCTTTTTCATATTCTATCTTCTGACGGGGCCAGTCCCATCCCAAAAAACGCCATTTAAGCTTTTAATTATAATAAATGTAACGTCAAAGGAACGAGAAATATATCGTCGCTTTATTCACCGAACTTTACACTGTTAAAAGTTAATTTAACATAATTACTCATAATAATACATGCCTCCCCCACAAAAAAGCCTCACATTCTCTTTGTAGCCAACATTAGGTTAAAGTCAGTAACTGACATTTTACCAAACACTGTTTGAGTGTACTCTACTTTCGTAATATTATATCCGGAGCCAGTGGACTCCTGCGTAAAAATATATGAAGTACCGGTAGATGAACTGTTGATCATATCGGGATCTTGAAGATTGTCTGTCAGATCGTTGTTCGTCGTATCGGGATAATACTGGTCGGAAGAGCCACAGAATGCTTGAAAAGGACTGTTTGTGTGGGTATGACTCGGTAGATTTAACTGTCCATTTGTAGTGTCAACGCCCTGATAGGCATGTTCTGAGAGGCATGACGAATAATCACCCGTATAATTTCCGGTATTTCTGTAGTCCGTAGTATTCGTAGTAATAGACACGTTATCGGAAAGAGAAAAGTCAGAAGTAAAGAAGTTTTGGGCATAAGATTGGGTTTGCAAATTAACGGGCGTGTAAAGTAGAGGATTGTTATTATTGAAGTCCTCCGAGAAAGACGATTGACAGACGTTGTTATAATGTCTGACACAATTGTTGTTCGTATCAACGGGGTTAGGAAGAGGGCCATACATGACGAAGGAAATTTGTTGTTTTGACTGAGAAAGGTTTCTGATTTTAACAACTATCCATAGTTGTTTATATATAAACGATGGTGGTTCATAATGTGCTGTAATTTATTTCTTATAATATATGTAGTATAAATACTCTGTTTTTTCTGTATAAATACATTGTTGTTTCCTGTATAAATACTCTTCTTATTATGTCACTTTTGATTAGCACAGCCACTTGCTAACCCCTTTTCTTTTGGTTCGAACCAGTTTTTTGATTCAAAGCCGAAATTCTGACCATGAATGTTCGATCAGATTCAAGTCGATTGACTCGACAATTCTGGCAAAGTTTAATCTTCTTGACCAACAATTAGACGTGTATTTGTAGATTTAGTCGCCTCTTCAGTATTTATTTTGTAAATGACAATTAATGGACATGATGCATACTTTACATTATATGTCTACATATAAAACAATATTATGTAAACTGCGGTTTATTTTAGGGGGACTGTATTAGTATATGGTAATCGGCAATTGTATAGTTTAATACAGGTGATAACAAAGCAAGCTAGTAAAACGTGAACATTCTTACGTAGCCCGAAAATCGAGGATATCACTCGACTTGGACTGATAGCATGTCTCGGGGATCGAAATTCATTTCTCGCGCGGAAAGCGCAGCGGATAAAACATCCCGTTGAGGGAATAACAGTTTTATTATAAAGTGTACATTAAAATGATCGGCAGAAAGTCTCCGAATCCCTGTCGATCAAATAGTAAAACATTAATATTAACATGAAAATCTTTATTTCAAAAGTCATTATCATCTGTATTTACTATGCAAATAACAACGATTTTGGTATCATTTTGAAGCCAATTGATTGTACTTGTCGATGGTGTGTGTGGAGTGGAGGTATTTCTATAAAGCAGGAGTTCAATGAGGTCGCGGTGTATAGAAAAATGTATAATTATATATTAATATGTGTGTGTAACATTCAACTGTCAACTGTATATTTTAATGTAATCATTTATATGTTTTACTATTTGGTCGACAGGGATTCGGAGACTTTTTATTTTGTCAGGGGAGTGTATATTGTTGTTTATTATCTCTCTTTCTTCTAATCGCTAAATTTAATCGTTCCTCTAATTTTATAGCTTCAAAATAATACAAAATGCACTTCTAAATTCAAAATCAAATTAAGTTTAAAGTCCCAAATCTCAAACTGATCATAGTCTTTCAGTAAATCAGTCCTCTTAACGCCTATATGATCGTTTCTATCAAATTAATAATAATTAGCACTGATAGTCTATAATTAAACAATGTCTTTTTGTAACAGATCAACCATAAGTAATTCCCCCCACTCATAAAACACCATATCCCAACATAACCGGACTCCCAGGACCACTATCAACAGCGTTCTCTTTAAGGCTCTTGGCTTCTTCAGGACTTAATTGAAGAATTGTAGTTATTACCGGAACCAGATACTAAATAAGTGAAAGATGATACGATCAAACGTCGTTGCAAATAGAGAATTGTTAGTTGAATATCCGTAGCAGATATTGTTAATGACTATTAGTCTTTACAATTTCGTCAATCAATCTTTGCACTGTCGTTCTCATTCTCATTGCCAACTATGTTGACTTAGTTCGAAACACTCTCTTCTCGACCTATTTTGCTTCAAACACCTCCCTTCATCCTCCTTCCCACTTCTTTATATTTCTTCTCTTACCTCCCGTTCTCCAGCACTGCTCTCCAGAAACTTCAAGACAACATTCTTCAAATACTCAACACTCATGTCTTGTCTCTTTTCCATCCGATCCATTCTCCTAATCTCTTCTTTTAACACTTTCTCTTGCTCTTCGAGTCGTTTCACCGTGGCTTCACTATCGTTCAAAAGTTCAGCAAGGTGTTGGATCTTTAATGCTTGTTCTTTGTCACGCTCTTGAGAAGAGACCGATTTTGGTTCTGTATCTGAAAGAAGGTCCGAAAGCGAAGCTGGAGCAACAAGAATGGAAATAGAGTATAATTAACGCGCGAGTACAACACTAATTTGTGCCAGTGTTGATAAACGTATATTTGAACAACTAGCAACAATCCCCCAAGCCCTCCCACAACAACCCAACTTTCAAACCATTAGTCCCTCCACTATAAAGAACTTACAATACGACGCACTAGCTCGTTTATTCGTGATCGAAGGTGAAGCTGGTTGACTCTCAGTCCTTGGCGTTGTATGTCTTTCTTCCCTCACCAATGGACTAATTGATCGTGGTTTTCGTGACAATAATTGTTTTTGAGCTTCGTTCAACTGTTCGGTGCGCTCGGCAAGCTGTGCGCGAAGGGTGGAGAGTTCTTCGTCCAGGCGCTAAACATGTGATTGACGAGTATGGGAAAAGGGAAGAAATGTGAAGTGTTGAAGAATAGAGCGAGATGTGAATTAATGACATTTAAGAAAACATATTATTGCGTAATGGCGAATAAACACCTAAGGAATAATGCCTGTGCAGACATTTGCAGGTATAATTACAATGAATCACCTTATTCATCTGTTGCAAGTCTTCGTTCTCTTCTTGTTTCTTTATACAACTTGCCTGAACTTGACCTGTTGTCTTTTCAAGCCTCTCTTCAAATTCTCGTATGCTTTCCTCATGCTTCTGCCCAGCCTTCCTCAATTCTACGGTTTATAGATATAAATGCACGACTTCAACTTGACGCGTTCGCTCAATATGTCTCAGCACACGAACCATGGATATTCTTCACCAAATCCTTTATTACTCACCTTCCCTAACATGTTCCTTTTCTTCCGAAGCACTTTTCAATAATCCTTGAGTTTCTACCACCAATTCCGCGTTTTGCCTAGCCGATCGCTGCGATCTTTGCAACTCCTGTTCCAAACGGACGTTCTGCTCGGATACGCGTAAGAGTTCTTTCTCGGCAAGTTTTAATTTTTCTTGTGTTTGTCTGAGTTCTACTAATTTGTGACTAGAGTATTAGAATGTCGATGAAAAAAAAAGGAATAATATTAGAAATTAAAGAAGCAGGTGAAAGGGAGAAAGGTAATCGGTAATGATGTTGAAATAAAATTATTTCTTATATGGTCCACGGATCGTAAGAACGATGGAACGCAATAACATAGCCGATCCTTTTTCCCTAACCCAAATGACAACATCTCTCTTTAATACTAGCCTAAATTCTCCCTGCAGTTTCTTAACTTGTGTTTGTAAATCAGATGTCTTTGCATCGGTTATAGCGCTTATCGTTGTATTAGTATCTGAATTTTTTTCTTGTAACAGTGCATGTGCTCGCTGTTTATATTGCTGAAATTCTTCCTTTGTCTGATTGAGTTGCTGGGTCGTTTGACGAAGTTTCGATTCCTGTCCAAGGATAAGTAAAGATTCACAATATGATAACTGTGCTGCCACATAATATTGCTTGTATGCTAATAAAAACTCTTACCATTTGTTCGACTTGAGTGGTATACATTGCAACTTGATTATGTAACTCCATGGTCAATTGATCAACCGACTCTACAAGATTGAAAACGTGCGCGATTATTTACGTTGATCAATATATAGACAATTTAATTCGAATTCGACCGAGAAGAGGAACCCTGATTTACTTTCAATTTCATTGACTGTTGTATTAGATTCCTGGTTCTTCTGTTTTAACGATTCTATTGTTTCTTTAAGTTCAACGATTTCGGCATCTTTAACTGTGACTGTCTGTCTAAGCTCCGTCAAATTCTTGTTTGCAGCGTTGAAGATTGCTTAGTAAGCGATCAGAAGGAAAGAAAATAATTATTGGTTTGAGAAGAGATAAATTTAAAAAATAGTAATTGATTATGAAAATGCAATGCCATAAATTGTGGAATAAATAGCAAGTTCAACAAATCTTACAATCAACGACGGAACGCATTTAGTAAAGGAAAACTTACTTCTCGTTTTCTTCATCTTGTCCTCGTATCCAGATTTGATCTTTTCAAGCTCAGCTACATAATGTTAACAAACATTAGCTTACCAACGTTTAAACATGTACGTATAGCGACAGCAGCTCTCACCAGTTCTTTTGCCCAATAACTCGGTTAGTTTGGATATTTCATTCTGCTTGCTGCTCAGTTGAATCTTTAGATCTTTAACCTTATTATGAACAAAAAGTTATATCAAGCAGGTATGTAATTGTTTCTCGTTAGATTCATAGATCATTCGTGTGTTCCAAGGCGTAAGCAACACTCGGTTAATATAGTCACCTCTTCCTCAAGAGAAAAATTCCTACTCTCTAGATCATCTACTCGAGATCGATTACTTCCAGTTGGACTCTACGCAATCGGTATTTGTAATGATTGTAGAACAACGTGTACAAAGTTAGACTATCAGCGATTGCTTATGGCATACATCGTTTACAAATAAGCACACTCGAATGTAGTTCAAATACTAACCCCGGCCCGAGCGCGAGCCATAGCATTGTCAACTTCTAATTTCAGTCTCTCTTCAAGAGGCTTGCGACCCTCCTCCATTTGAAAAGAAACAAGTGATGGTATTGTTTATAATCTTCGAGTATTGCTGCTGTTGACGAGAAACCAAGAGAATATAAATATAGTTCAGATCTTTCAATGTAAAGTGGCCAAAATTGCTTCTAAATTAATATAATAATAATAATAATAACCTCTATCTCAGCTACGTCACACAACAATTTGCGTCGTTCTCGAACTATAACAATAATAAGCATAATAATAATAATAAAACATTTATTTAAAACATGCAATTTTATTGGTTAATAAATTCGGTTAATGAAGTTTGGCGTTATTCATCTAAGCGTCAACTTATATTGCGTATATATTTACATCATTTTCTGTTGTAAAATCTCTTTGTTCTAAGAACTTCGATATCAAGTGCGGAACGAAATGACATGACTAGTATCATTAGTGATATTAATATGGGCTTGTGTAATTTATAGTAAGGACACAAATGAGGTTTTATAACTTCACAGACTAAAGTTGGGATACAATAAGTTAATAGAGTAGAATAGCTATGAATAGGGTGCTCGATTTATTATCAACTAATTGCTCCCATTTTTGGTACTTATTATTCTTGATTAAAAACCTCTCATCATATGAAAATAACAAGTCTGTTGGTAGCATGCTGGGAATAGTGAGTTAGGAGTTGTCATGTGTATTGTTTATAAAATTCAAGCAGAGCAAATTAGGTGATTGATCCTGGGTTATACACGTATAATGCACTATATACGAGATGACATGATAGTCTTAATTTCGCATAGCAGATGATACGTGGCGCTTGGCTAAACTACATAATAATTTTAAAACTAACTACAGGTCAAACCTGTTTAAACCGGCGCTGATTAAACCGGTCTCGGGTTTAACCGGCCGCCTCAAGACTACACCA